ATTAATTAATTTAAAGTCAATTTTTACAAATTTTTATATAAATTAATTACAAAAAATTATACTATTATATTTTTAACTTATGTAATGAAAACCTATATATATTATGGGTTGTAGGTTAGAAACATATTAATTAAATTTTGACATCTCCTAGGCTCAAACCTCTATTCTTAGTATGGTAGACATGACAGCAAACTATTAGAACAATTGTAAGCTTATTGGTAAATGCTGCACAACATTATATTTATTGATGTTTAATTGAATCGGTAATTTAAATGATTAAACTGATTAAACCGATCAAATCGAGACCCAAAACTCAAAATGGTTTGACCTCCAGGTTGGTTTTCAAAACACTACTTTTATGTTTCCTCCCCTTCATACTTTTTGATGGTTGTTTGCCCATGGTGGCCTTCTTTTATATAACAGATAGCTACGAGGTCTAGTATATTATAGCCCTTAATGTGTGTAATTCTACATGTTCAATAATATATTTTATTATTACCAAAAAAACAAAATTCCCTTTAAAATTTTTAAATAAATATCCATTAAACTTAAAAAAAAATCCTCAAAAATACTCAATGGGTTTTGGAAAATTATTAATAAATATCCAATGGGCTTAAAAAAATCATCAATAAATATCTAATAGACGTTTAAAAAATATCATTTCTTTCTAATTATGTAACAGTAAATATCATATCTTTCTAATTGTATAGCATTAAGGTCTTTCCAATTATATAACATTTGGGCTACAATTATTTCTTATTTATATATAGATGGACAAAAAACGAAAAAAGAATAGAGAGAGAAGAGTAGCCACTGGCACCACTGTGGAAGGTGGATATTTGGACCAACAAAATGGTTTGAATATCATACAAATCAGTTTGAAATAAGTATATATGGACTAAAATTGATTTGTATAGTTGATATAAAAAAACATGGTATGAAATAATATATATCTAGATTGGCCAAATATTGGTCAGTATAATTAAACTATTCAGACAAAAAACAATCTGAATATTTTGGCAAAAAATCTTGCCCCCTATTTTAGAATTAAATTAAACAGACCACAAATGGTCCCAAAATTAAGAAATTAATAAAATATGAACATAATTACGGATCAAAAACGGTCTGAGTATTCAAGGCTACATTGAAATGAAAAAAAGTTGGCGGCAACTAGGAAAAGTATATTTGGACCAACTTTGGTCTGGATATATATAGCCTCAACTGCAAAAAAAGAAAAAGTTGTTGTCCATTATGTAAATATATTCAGACCAATTTTGGTTTGAATATAAATGTCATTATTTGCAAAGATTACAAAATTGGGGGCCTATATGGCTGCCCCAGAAAATATATTTAGACCGTTTACGGTCCAACTATATTGGACTCAGATGCAAATTTTGAAAAGTCTAGTGCCTATGTTTTTGTTACATTAAAATATATATAGACCGTTTTTAGTCTATATATATAGCCTCATTTACATAGAAAAAGGAATCCTTGTTGGTCAGTGATGGTTTTGCTTGGATTATTGATATCAATTATGATATGAAATAAGCGCTTTTAACAAAAAATGATGAAAATGAAAATAAAATAGAATATATTTATTTTACTTACTAAGTACATAATGCTACCAACTGCAGAAATATATTTTCCAAATTAGAATATATACATGTTATAAAGGAATAAAGTAATTTTGTACTAATTTTTAATATAATAACTAAATACATGTAAAATATTAATTACATTAAATTTAAACTATGCAACAAATAAAAATAAATTTCAATCTTATATAATGTGCTAAATTATAATAATTACATAAGAAGAACTAAATACCTAATATTTTGATTTTAATTAAGTTAAAATTCAAATATACAACATATAAAAATAAATGAGAATATAATATAATATTGCTAATTAAAAAAAAGTCAACAACAATAATTATAATTGTAAATAAAGAATAAAATAGAAATATATATTAACTACAACAAAATATAAGTAAAAATAAATAATATATAGCACAAATTATAACAAAATAAAGAAAGATATTTATGAAAGCATTACCTATAACCCATTGACTTGTAATTTTCCTCATTTCCTACCAAAAAAAAAAGAAAAGAAACCAAATAAATATAAATATAAAAGAAAATTGGAAAAAGTATTAAAATAAACATATAGAAGAAAAAAATTTAAAGTTCACCAAATTTTCAAAATATGTAACCTACCAAAAAAGAAGAAGAAGAAGAAGAAGAAGAAGAAGTTAGTAAACAAATTACAAATATAAAAAATGAAAATGGAATAAACTTATTATAGATAGTAGAGAAATACCAATATCAAAAGAACATAAAATTTTAAAAAAATTCATAAAATGCTTATATGGAAGAAAAAGAAAGGAGAGTGGAATAAAAAAGAAGGCAGAAGTGAAAAAATCAAAGGGAAAGAAAAGATGAAGAATGTAAAAAAGGTGGAGAGAAAGAAGAGAG